TTTTTAAAGCTTTTTTTTGAAAAGTAAGGTAAAACGGCCCCTTAGGTCCATAATGACAGTTTAGCTGACGTCACACTAGTGATAGGATCAAATTGCATTGTCCATAAAAATTTCATGACAAGGCGGATTTTAACAGAGTTTAAAAGACTTTGCGAAAAGAAACCTTTTAATTACCTAGATTCAAGATTATTTTCACACTTGAGACTAGCTTTTTAGAATATTTTTTTTTCACATTTGAAAACCCTTAGTCAACCTCCATTTAAGGTTTTTTTTATATGGAAGAATTTACCCCGACCCGCCCTTAATTGAGGCATACGGGTAAATGTTTATTAAAATTAAAAAAAATCCAGAAAACAGTACAAACATAAAATACATAAAATACACATCAGGCATGGCAACAGCCCATGAACATGGCGGGCGTAGAGCAGCTAAAATCATGTAAGGTGATAAACATTTAAAACAGCAAAATATTAAAAGTGTCAATTAAAAGAATATTTTAAAAGAACAATTTAAAAGATAAACGTGCAAAATTTACAAAAGAACAATATTGTAAAACATTTAAAAACAGTACTTTAAAACCAGTTAAATAGTATAAAAGTAAATATCAATAAAATTGGAGCAAGTAAAAGAAGAAGAGCTTATAAAAGACGTAGTAAAAAAAAAAGAGACATCCAAGCTGGAAGGAACAAGTTCCGAGACATTAAAGACCGTCCCCCAATACATCCTCTAAAGTTTGTTTAATAATCTTTTTTATGATATTTCTACAAGTCAGGTTAGAATAGCATTGATGTTGACCAATATTATAAAAGTTATTGCCCCGGATTGTCTGGGATTGAGAACAATTCATTAACAAGTGATCAATAGATTGATATTCACCACAGTAATTGCATTCTGGAGTTTTGTGGAATAATTTATATTGGTGTTCTCCAAACACTCCGTGGCCTGTTAAAAATTGATTGAGATAGAAGTTTGCTTGTAGTCTATTTAATTTCGGGTCTTTAAAAAACTTGAATGTCTGTCTCCCTTTCTCGGAACTCCGCCATTCCAGCCCCCAGCGCTTCATGCTATATAATTTAACCTGAGTTTTAATTTGGGCGATGGAGCTTGGGACCTCAAGGGTAATTTGGCAGAGATCGGTGGCGTTCTTAGCTGCTCGATCCGCCTCCTCGTTGCCTTGAGTACCTATATGAGCTCTAACCCAACTACAGAGTATATTAGATCGCCATAATTGTTTAGTGTTATCGACAATTTTTGAGTTTGATACTGGGTTTTGTAAGGCTTGCAACGAGGAAAGCGAATCAGTATAGATAGTGGCGTCTGGATATTCTTTTTTAGAGAGCCAGAGAAAAGCATTATTAATTGCCACCAATTCTGCCATGTAAACACTACTAAGGTTTTTTTTTATATAGAAGGTTGTTTTCCAAGCTTTTGGATTAGGGCAATGTGCGTAGAATAGAGCAGATTGTCACAGATCTTGTTTTAAGGTTTACACGTAAACCGTATTACAACCATTTTTAGGTTCACATTAAAAGATTTTTCTGAGTGAAAATAATACTTATTTTGCTATCTGGGATTGGTTTCACTAGCCTCCTTATACAATAAAAGTTTTAAAAAAAACACGTAATACGGTTTACACGTAAACCGTATTACAACCTCTTTTAGGTTCACATTAGAAGATTTTTCTGAGTGAAAATAAACCTTATTTTGCTATCTGGGATTGGTTTCACTAGCCTCTTTATACAATAAAAGTTTTAAAAAAAACACGAAATACGGTTTACACGTAAACCGTATTACAACCTCTTTTAGGTTCACATTAGAAGATTTTTCTGATTGAAAATAATACTTATTTTGCTATCTGGGATTAGTTTCACTAGCCTCCTTATACAATAGAAGTTAAAAAATAAATAAATAAAAAGTTAGAAGAAGATTAGACAAAAGGCCTAACTCAACTAAAACTTATTGCCCATGTAATGCAAACTTTCACACTTTAAGTTAGGGGATACTAAGTTTTTTTTAATAATTTTGTTTATTTTATTCACAAAGTTCACTATATCAGAAAATTGAGCAATATTCGGAGCTATTAGCGTTCTTATCGAAATCTTGATTCAATTTTAATTGTCTTTCTTTACACTGATATCAGTGCGGGTTATTATTATTTTCTTTTTTAAAAAGGCATATCTCGGGAAGATTAAAGAATTTGTTATCAAAAGCAAACTTTTCCTTAATTAATGCGGTAAACTTTATGAATGCTTGTCGAGATTCACCTCGAAATTCACTGACTTTTTATTTTATTTACCGAATCTCGGTTAGTTTTTAATTTGTTCATTAAAAAATAGTCGGGTGAAATATTCATTGTTTGTATCGAGATTATTCGGAAATAAGATTTTCGACGTGTTATGTTCTTGCGTTACTAGACTGAAAGTTAGTAATTTCGAACCTGAAAAAAAACTTGGTTTTATTTTAAAAACAAAACACCAACATGGTTGTAAAAATTCCTGCAACTGGTGAAAAGAGGGAAAGAAAAATTACTGCCTTTGGACTGCATCATCATTTACTAAATGCTATTTTATTCTTTTTAAAGGTAATGCTCTTTTTTAAAAAAAGAAAATAAATAAATAAATATTGTTTTTCATTTATTGCTAATAATAATTTTAGTAATAAAACAACAATTATTATAATTATAGCAGCTAAGTGTGAATTTTTCCAATGTAATTTATGTTACTTTATTGCTATAGTTCTTTTTGAATACCTTCATTTCTATGAATTATCGTACTTTCTCAGAGAAATGATTTAGGAACATTCTGATTTTAAAATGTTAGATGCGAACAATTGTTTACCGGCGATGTTATTTTACTAAATGGTATTTTATTCTTAGTAAAAGTAATGAGCTTTTTTTTTTAAAAGAAAATTTTTTTTTTTCATTTATTACTAATAATAATTTTAATAATAAAACAACAATTATTATAGCAGTTAAGTGTGAATTTTCCAATGTAATTTATGTTACTTTATTGCTAGTTCTTTTTTGAACACCTTCATTTCTATGAATTATCGTACTTTCTCAGAGAAATGATTTAGGAGATGTTATTGATGTGGTCAATAGTTTTGACCGGTGATTTTATTTTATTTCAAGTATTTTTGTAAACTCTGAAAGAAAGTTATGAATAGTAAGGGGTTTTCCACAAATTATATTTTGTTCTTTTATATTTAGTACTGTTAAATTTTAAATGGTCATTATATGGGATCATCCCCTATTAAAGTATGTTTTATCTCACAAGCTTTCTTTCTTTATACCATCACATTTTGCAGTCTGGATCATCATTGCAGGGTTTTATCATTTGCTGTTAAATGTTGTTTTACTATACAAAATGAAATTTATGGAAATCCCCTTATCAGAGCTTTAATTAAAAAAAAGTACGAAAACTTCTGAGAAAAAAATGCTAGAAAACTGTTTAAATTTTCACGATATTCAAATTGGACATTTTCATTAGTTACCAAACGCGATTCAGAACAAAATTATGAAGAAAAATATTTTTTTAATATTTCCCACACAGGCGTAGAACGAAAGGATTACTTTAAATTCTTATTTCTTGCGCAATTTTTCAAATTCCATTAATTAAAAATTATTCTAAAAACTTTGTTTTATCTTATTGAATATTTCTGCAGTTATAGTAAGAAAACGTTCGGCAAAAAAAATTTTTTTTCATTAAAATTTTCATGAAAATTGAAGCTAAGTTTACGATATTTTGTGCATTTATTGCATATAATAACCAAAATAATGGTTACAAGCTACAAGCTTATTGCTATAGTTTTGGACAAAAAGAGTTCAAATTCAAAAAGACTCTTTTAAGTTCGTAATTTATGGTTGGTCCCTCAAACTTCTAAAAGTTTTAAACTTTATTGATATGTATGAAAAAATAAGCCAGTATGGAAGTGATTTCATAATTTTGTTCTTACTTTTGTATAATATATTATATGAGATACAAATAGATATCTTATGTAATATATTATAAGATATATTATACTCTTATTATATAAGATGTTTTGTGTAATATCTTATATAATAAGAGTTTTGGAAGCAGCTTTTTGTTTAATGACTAAAGATAGAAAACTTTTAAATCTTTTTTAAAATTTTGAATTCATTTTGAAGTTATTAAATTTTAAAGTTTTTGTTTTTCAATCATGGCGGAGCCCCCTAAATGGTTAAATTAAGAGAATATAACACACAATCCCTAGATTGGACGCGACTCGACAGCACTTAGTTTGTGGCCCGCGAAATCTGCATTTGAATCTAATTATTATTTGTACTTTCGTATACTATTTTAGAATGCATTTTGCTAATTGGAATGGAGTATTCCTTATTAAATTCTTGAATGATTTAATTAGATTTATTATTTGTTTTAGCATACCACCATTTACTGTTTGCTTTATTTTAGTTATTTATATTTTAGCTAACGGCAACTTTTAGTTAAAATAATATGTCCCAGAGCACAGTCAAAATTGCGCAAGCTTGGGTTAAATTATCGCTTTTCTTATTGGTTCAAAAGTATCGAAAAAAAAATGTTTCGAATTATATATGCAGATATAATTCAAATAGAAAAGAAATATAACATTTCATACTTTGTTACTAAGTGAGATTTCTAAATTTTAAATTGTAGCTTCAAGTATGTAAAAGAAATTTATGGCAGATAAATCTAAGTCACTAAATGTAATCCTTATTTGAAAAGAAGGAAAAAGAAAAATCCTACAAAAGAGTTAAAACTTGATTCAGCAAAATTTTTATTGTTGCATTTATTAGAAAATCCCTCATCTTTTTGCTATAGAGAAAGCTGGTAGCCATATTTTCAGAACTAATTTACACGTATTTCGCAATTTTTATTAAATGCCTTTTAAATAACATACAGGTAAAAATATTTCTGTTTTGAAATCATGACGTTTTAAATGTCTATTTTGAAATCACTATCACACCTCATCCTGTGAATGTTCGTTCAACACGATTTGGGTGATAACTATCAACCCTAGAGATAAGATAATATTTTTTGATCTTTTAACAAATTTTTTCTTCGCGCAACCATTTATCTGAAAAATCGTTTGCAATCCGGAACGAATGTATTCAAAAATAAAGCGTTCACTTTCGTTAAAAACTTCATCTGACATCGTACAGCAAATATTTCGTCATATCTGAAAGAAAATTTGCTCTATTTTCGATTAAATAGTTTTATTTTATTCCATTTTTATTGTTCTACGATGTTATGACAAAAGGAATTGACTCCGAAAAATTGGTTTGATACAAAGTAAGAAAACGTTTATTTTGTTCTTTATATTTTTCTTTTTATATATATTTTGATCTCAGAGTTCAATTAATGAAGAATATTAAATTTAAATCTATTTTTATATACTCTTTGATTAAATATTAAATCTCAGGTTTTGCACTGGCTTTAACAAATTGAAGCGTCGTTATCGGAGATAGTTTTTGTTGACGTAAGATCACGTTCAGAATAATGTTTACTTTTTACTCCTTTAGAATGTAGCTTATGTAACAAACATTATTTGTTTTGATATCTTCTATTGGTTTCCTGTTTACACTTTTCTACATTATTATTAGACCGCCACTCTACATTATTGTCATTTTGGAGTGGAGACTAACTTTTCGCTTGTTATTTTAATTTTCAAAATATTTTATGATATTACGAAGATATCATGACAGATGAACCTGCAGTAACGGTATTTACAATTTATTTTTTATTATTAAGGTTATTCGAAAAAAAATTATTTGGTAATATAAGGATCTCATTGATTATGTAATTTATAGGTGCATCGCTGTAAAGTTCTAATAACGTTAAAATTAGATTTACGGGAAATCGTAAAGCTATGCAAAATTTCTTTATATACCTTTCCGTGAAAAATAAACAGACACTATCTTTTACAGATATTACTTTCGCTAATTTCAGAACCTGTTTTAAACATTCACTGTTCCTAGCGATTATTGTCGTAAAAAGCTATGGTATGATTCATTTATAGTAAAGAATATTTTTGATTCAGCTTTCATGTTTAATTTCCAAGACTTCTCATGACAAAAATTACTGTTTTTAAAGTTACAGAGTGTTCCATAATAACCATTTTCAACATTTTAAACTTTTGAATTTTGATTATTTTTAAAAATGATGTAAAAAACTTGAGCACATTAAAGGCCATGCATTTAAGTGTGGAAAAAAATATATTTTCTGACTCACACCTAACACTATTGAGGTTAAGAGCAAAGGAGACATTAAAAGCACCTAAAACCAATTTATTTGAGGGCGACTCTTGACCCTTTGACACAGATGTTTTTATTATATATTTCTTTTTCTGATACACTAATGGCATGCCTGCAAGTGACGTAGTGTGGGTATCTCGATCCTAATTGGTTGTTGAAACGTGGCATTTGTTTACGCAAGCAATTGTTCTTTCCATTCTATTTCGAGTAAGTCAAGCCAGTCAAATATCAGTTCTCTTAAGTGACACATTCTAAATTCTTTTCACAAGGATTCTTTCTCAAAGATTTCGATTCTTTCATTATATATTTACATAGAGACTTAACACAAAGACAGACATGAAACCATGTGGAACATAAATAAACTAATTATGCTTCAAAGTTGCCAAATACACAAAACAAAAATATATCACGGTTACAATAATATACATAAACAAATAAGAAATCTAAGTTAACTAAAGGAAGCAGACGAGAAAGAATTATATTTCAACTAATTCGATGCGCGATACGGCACTGTATTTAATTAACTTATAGTTAATTAACATTCTAACTTATGTAGAAAAACTTAGCTCAATTTTAATGCGCCACTTTGCTGATAAGGATAAGCTGGAGCTGAAGTGATAGGTCACATGTGTGGGTATGGGAGGTTTTCTTCTTGAAGTGCAAGTACCCACTTACAAGCAGAAATATATTTTGGTATTTTTTAATTGTAAAAAAACAGTCAAATAGTTACAAAAAATATGTTATATTATCGAAATTATATTTGTTCTAAAATATAAAATTAAAAAAAAAGTAGTGTGAATTTTTTTTTTTTAAAAGTTCATATTTAAAAATGTATTAACTGATTTTGTAAATGAAAGAAATTTCAATGATGAATAATTGTGTCTTAGATATTAAATATCTGCCAAAAAGTGCAAATTTGAAAAATTCTTGTTTGGAAGCGAGTCGTGTCTTGTTATGCGAGTCATGTGCCTTAAACGCAGTTAAAAACACGTGTGTTTCTTGCTGTATTTTATAACCATAAATTATTAAAATGCTAAAAATAATATTTAAATTTATTTTGACCTACATTAATACAAAGTAATTAAAAAAAAGCATGAAAAATATGTTTAGTAAAAATTTTGTGTCAAGGGGTTAAAAGTTGTTCCTAACATAAGGCAAATAAACTGGTTTTTGATAATTTAAATCCATCCCTCTTCTGCTTATCTGAACCTCAAAAAAAAAATCATATATATTTTTTTAAAGTTTTTTACCGGATATTTAAAAATATATATCGAAGACGGCTCTTACGAAACACAATATATATCACAAAAATAGATAAGTTAATAAAATTCTAAAACCAAATTAACCGAGAAATTTGATTAGTACAGCGTTATTTAAGAAAATCGTCATAAAAATGACAGCGAACATTTAACGATTCATTTATATTCCAATGGGATTTAAAAACCATACTAAAAATTCTCAATTTATTTTAAGAAATTTTTTTATTTAATGTTTTAGGTGAGTCCTATGGGTTCAGAAAAGAAACCAACTCAAAGAAGCTGCGTCGTAGACTTGCTTATCATTCTTTTTGGTGTGAGTTCATGGGTGGCTGTAAATGGTCTATGGGTGGAACTGCCCATATTGGTCAATACATTACCTGAACATTGGAAGTTGGCATCTTACATAATAATCACAACCCAAGTTGCGAATTTAGGGCCTATTCTTTTCAGTGCAGCACGTAAAATTTGGTCTCAAAAGGTAATTACTTTGAAATTTATTTATTTATTTTAGTAAAACATTATTGACTTTCTGAACCGAAAATAATTCGTTGATTTAGAATATTTTTTTTTTAAAAATTATTGAAATATAAGTCAATAAAAAATTCCAGTTTGAAGATCACAATCTAAAAACCAAATCTTCATAAACAAAAACAAAAATATGTATTTTTGTCATTTTAGAACGTTAAGAACAGGTCTCATTTTCTCATTATGTCTAAAATCTCTCTTTATTGGCATGCGTGAATATTCGAATAAAAGTTATTAAGATAGTTAGAATCATAAGTTTGAAAGCGGAAGAAAAAAAGGCAATTTCGTCAACATTATTTTATTTTTTTAAGAAAAGACATCATCAGAAAAGACATATTTATTATGTAATTATTATACGTATTTAAAAGTAATATTTATCAATACTAACAGTAAAACTAACAGTAATTACTTGACTGTACTTTTGTTTATTTTTATGTACTGTTAGAAAAAAAGGATTACTATGGGGAACAAATTTTTTGTTGCATTTATATTGTACAAATACTTGATCTTGCCTAATTCAGGTGTGTGAATTTCTAATCTGAAATAAGTTTTCCTCTAAAGTTGCAAATTTTTTTTTAAAAATGACATTTTTAATCTATTTTTTGTCGAAATGTACAAGTTTAAAAACGTTATATGTATAATAGGGAGTGGCGCAAATGTTAGGACGAACTTCTAGGTGATTTTAAAATTGCTTGGAATTATCGTCAAATGCGGATCGGAGAGCTTTTCTATGAATACCTTAGATTATGACCGATTCAGAGGCACGCGAAGAAATAGTACATAATGTGGATGCACCCCTTAGAGGCGTATAACGACAATCCCGGGCATGGTTTTCTATGCAATTTTGATCCTGATGATGTGATCGAACTTTGCTAGAAGTTTTCTGCAACGTTTACGAGACTCCCTGTTATGTATAACGTTTTTAAACTTGTACATTTTGACAAAAAATAGACAAAAAATGCCACATAAAAAATCCTGATGATGTGCTCGAACTCTGCTAGAAGTTTACTGCAACGTTTACGCGACTCCCTGTTATATATAACGTTTTCAAACTTGTACATTTTGACAAAAAATGTCACGTAAAAAAATCTTGTAGGAGAAACCGATTGCAGATTTGAAATCAGCAATATGAAAGTATTAAGAAAGTATCTAAGACAATCATTTTAATACAGCGGAAGTATAACTTATCCATAACTATCATCATCCAACTTCCGCTTATTAACTAGCTTTTTTTTTGTAGAAAAAAGAAATAGATTTATGATATTTTTAATAGCTATTCGATTTAAAACTTATATTTTTCAACTTAAAAAGCCTGACAGTTTCTTCCTTTGTTTTAGGTACTAGAAATACCAATAATACACGCTTCGCTAGCCCTTGTCATAGTTGCGTGTGTTTTGTTAAGCCTCTTTTGGGACCAAACCACTTTCATTTTTGGAGCCTGGCACAGTACATCCTTATTCATACTAACCTTCTTCTTGGCCTTTGTGGATTGCACGTCTTCCCTTCTGTATCTACCATTTATTGCTCATTTCAAGGAACAATACGTCATATCTTATTTGGTAGGATCAGGATTGAGTGGTCCAGTTCCAGGCATCTTAGCCTTGGCACAAGGTGTTGGTGGCTATGCGGAATGTAGAAATATCTCAAAAACAACGGAGACTGAATTCGGGAATTTGACAGAATACAGCATTGAAGCATTCTATCCACCGCCAAGGTTTTCAGCCAATATCTTTTTCGGCGTTCTCTGTGGGCAAATGTTAATTAGTTGGCTAGCTTTTATACTGCTCAACCATTTACCAGCTGCTAAAAGAGAAAGAGTAAGTTGAAATATTTATAATAGAGATATTAATAGTGCCTAGTCGAGAATAACTTTCCAATTTAAAAACATCATTTTAACCCCGCAGCAAAAAAATAAATTCATCTACATTTGAAATCAAAATACAAATAGTTCAGATAGGATAATTAGAACAATATGGGATTTCATCAGTTAAGTATTCAGTTATTTACTTATTTTATACTCAACTCCTTTACAAGGCATTTTAATAAACTTAAATTCTAGTGTTTTTGTGTCATGATGTTATTCTTTGTGTGATGTGATATTGATCAATAATGCACATGAGGTGTATTAAAGTTGAGATCTGTTATTGCTAACTATTTGATAAAGAAGCCAAACATAGTGAGTCCAGAGCACGTTTTAACACAAACGTCAACAGCAAACAAAAACGGCATGAACATAGGACGAATCAATATTGAGAAAGGTGTGTCTTAAAAACTGAACGAAAACATCAAAACTACTATGATTTTCTGGTTGAAACATGAAGGTGCTTCTAACAGGCACCTTTCCTCTCATCCTAGTTTGCTCAGGCACTCAAACATGCTTTGATGTTTTTTATCTAATTTTCCTTCCTTTACGATACGTATAAAGTTTCTCACTTAACCACTTGATACCGAATTTTTAAAGTTATTTTAAATACTGTTTTCATTATTTTGTATTAATTTAGGTCATGTTTAATTAAACTGAAATGTTTTCTTTGATGCGAAAACTTATAAACTGAAAAATACCAAATTCTAATCTCATCTAATTATTTTAATTTAATACTGCATCAATTTATACAAATCTTTTTATCTTCAATTTGTTCAGTTACAGTTTCCTATTTGCACTTATAAATTATATATTCCAAAGTTTAAGTTTATCATTAAATAAAACACCAAAAACTGACTGTTAAATGATAAACTTAGTAACTATGGAAACGAAATAATAATAATAATAATAAAAAAAAAAAAAAAAAAGCCAAAACTTTAAAAAACGAAAAAAAAAACATACAATGCGCAACTTAATAATTTGCTAATAATTTACGAATTTATAATATGCTAATAACTAACGAAGTTTCCAAAATTATCTATAGGAAAGTTATCTAAATTGGGCTTATCACACCATAATCAAGCATATAAAATCTCGAAAAACGGAATCGCACTTTTTCATAATTCTTATGTAATTTAAACTCCAAAACTCAGATATTTGTTTCCCTAACAAGCGCAACTTTCCAAAATTAGAATTTATATCTGAATTATAATTTATTAATCAGATAAAAATGTTATCACGCATTAAATAGGAAATCATTAATGGAACATGCTTAATAGATATAATCTATTAAGCATAATCTGTTAAGCTTCCCCACAACAACAACATCATATAGAAAACCTTTTTATATGCTATCTATAATTAATACAATTTGAATTCGACATTCTTTTCCACCCTCTTCTGTTTTGTAAAAAAATTCTAAGAGATTAACTACTGTGACTCAATTTAGAATGCCAAGGTTTAACTATTTTAAATATCTGCTTTTCACCAGTTACGCATTTTTATCTGAAAATAAAGTTCTCGGGAAATTAAGTTGGCGAAAAACTCTTAACTATCAACCCTGTTTTCCTTTTAAAACGGTCTTTAGTTCCTGAAATCCAATTTAACTTACTCGGTATTAAAGTAAATTTTAAAAAATCGAATGAAAGTACAATAATAACTATTTTCATAAATTATATTGGTTCAGGATGCTTAGCGTTTTTAAAACGTGCTTAATTTTGATTTACGTTTTTTAAAAGTCCTTATAAGTGCTTTTTTTATTCGGGGTTTGTAAAAAGTGCTTAGTTTTCTATCTTTTAGAAAGAGATTTTATCTTTGATGTATCGATTGTTGTTCTAAATTGCAAAAAATGCATGATTTTCACAATTTTCTCTGCAATATTTATCAGAAACTAGTTGTTTTTATCATGATTATGTAATGTTTTTGAAAATGCTATGTTCATAAATTAAGAACTTTAAACGATCGAAGAAAAATTTTTTTTATTACAGCACAGTTCCTAATTATGATTCTTTTTTTGGAAAATGATTAAAAATATTTTTTGAGTGTTTAAAAAGTACTTAAAAGGTGCTTATTTTTTGTTGAAAAATCCGGCTACGCACCCTGTTGGTTATTTTTCAAACAATTTTACCTAACCCATTAATGCCCAAGACAAAATCATAGTGGTGTATATGGTGGTCTATTTATATGAGTGGCTTATGAAAAAAAAGAAAAGGCAGTTCTACCTATTTGCATTCCTCGAATGGAAATTTCATTCTGTAGCCAACTACTTTAACATTAAAAACTACCAAATAGTTCTTACCAAATAAAAATATTTATATTATTAATGTACAATGTGCAAAATAATGAATGAGGAAGTATTTTTTTTCTGTATTTACCAAAAAAAAAAAAAAAAATNAAAAAACACAGGCAACCCTGAATAACTTTAAATCTAATGATTGAAATTACACGCTCTAGGACTAAATCTTAATGGTTTGAGGGAGCTTCCTCAAATATGCTAATTAGTGGAGACGATATTTTAAGTTATTAAATCAGACACAAAAACGTACTTTCACTGAACAAACGTACCTTTCATTGGACAATCTTAGATTTATGACACCATAGTATAGGGGATAGCCGCAATCTGGAAAATATGTTCGCAATAGTTTGTTCAGGAGAGAGATTCAAGTTTGGACCCCTAAATGTTAATTTCACTTTTTGCGTATTTCGCCATAGTTCGAGAACTTTTAAAACGAATTGAAAACTTCCCAAAAGTTATGAAATTTCTTTATCCAAATATAATTCCATGCAAAAAACAGCTTTTAATAAATATTTATTATTTTTAATTATTTTATTTAATAACAGTCGAAAACATTTTAAATTGTAAAGTATACAAATTTTTACATCATTTAAAAGAATGCAATTTTGCATGGCATATTACAAATTTTGAGCGAAATCGGTCTAATAATTCCTAAAAATCGAATTTTAAAGAAACCCTATTTTTAAAATTCAATTTGTCAGGAACTTTTTAACGGATTTCGCTCAAATTTTGTCATATAAAATTACACATTCTCTAAAAAATTGCATACCTTACAATTCAAATTTTTTCAATCATTAATAAAGAAAAAAATAAATATTTACTAAAAGTTATATTTTGCATGGGATTATCTTTGGATAAACGAATTTTATAATTGTGTGCAAAAATGTTTCAATTTGCTTAAAAAGTTCTAGAGATATGACGAAATACGCAAAAAATAAAATTCACACTTAAGGGGTCTAAATTCTAGGATTTATAATCTCGATATATATATTGGATTTAAAACCTCGTATTATATTAGATATATTACGAGATTATAAATCAAACTGGACATTATAAAGATAAAAACAATTTATTGATCGAACATTTTCCAATATAGAGGAAGTAATCAGTTGATTAACATATGAAGTAAAAAAAATAATTAAAAGAATAAAATGAATTGTATATGCATTAAAAATAAAATAAATTGCTAGTGTTTAATTATTTCAAATTTTTCATTTTTAAAACGGCAAAATGAAACCTCCACTTTTTCCAAAAAATTGTCAGATAGGCTTGATCGGGAATCCTTCAAACCTTATAGAATTTGACCGTGATTTTCAAACATCGGAAAGTATTTTAAGTAATTTTATCAATTTTTACAACAGATAAAAGCTGAATTCTTAAAATCTGAAAATGTGCGTTAGGCCAAGTTACTAATAACTATGTTTTTATTAGCTTTACTAAATGATGAAACAGAAACACGTGCAACTAGTTATCCAGTTTTTGTTCCAAAATAAAAGATAGGATCTTATCATCTACTACTGGTTAAACAGCAAATATTATCAAATGTTTTATTTGTTGTGATCAAAATTGAAAACATATTTATTTTTATAAATGCACTTCCGGTAATATCGTAACACTATTAATTTATCAATATGTTTATAAATAAATTGCCCTTTATTAGTTAGTCTTCCTTCATATAAATTATAGACAATCTGAAAATTTTATTAAAGATGGAAGTCTAATTATTATCGCGATTAGTTTTTTAATAATTTTAATTTTTTGAAACAAATTTTGTATTTTCACAGGGTGCTTAGCCAAATTATTCAACAGAAAATAAGCACCTTTCAAGCACTTAAAAAATATTTTTAAGCACTTTAAAAAGATATCATAATTAGGCAGGGTTGGAAAGTTTTTGACAATTGACGGTTTTATCTTGTTTTAACCATCATGTCAAAAAAAAAAAAAAACATTTGGCATTGTTTTTGACAATTGTCAAATTCATGAAATTTTGAAACATGCGAATGGGCGTTTTCATACGCTACGGACTGACAATAAGCCGATAGATTGGGGGTGAATTAATTGTGAAAATGTTGAATAAAACAATGTGAACTGTGTATTTTTGCATAATTCGTTGCGAAAATCAAGATGGTAAAGGAAAAATCTCATTTTGAAAAAGGAAAAATTAAGCACTTTTTAAAAACACCCCATGAAATAAGCACCTTTAAGGGCTTTTAAAAAACAAAAATAAGCACTTTTTAAAAACGCTATGCATCCTGTTTCAATTATATACACTGGTGGACAAAATTAAGAGATGGAAGACATTTTCCCAAATATCTAAAAAAAATACTGAATATAAATAAATGAACTTTGGTATGGANCCCCATTTTGCAAAGGTGGACTAAATATACCGAAAAACAAAAATTATGTTTTTTTTCCATGTTTTTGCGTTATTTTGTAATATTACTTCGGAAATATAATTTGCTTATCATTTTTTATATAAAATTACGAAAATTATTATACTTTTATTGCTATATTTAATTATTTAAATGTACTATATATATATTTTGTTGCTCGCTATAATTAAGCCGCCATCTTGTTTTCTTTTTTTTTTGTTGGTATTTTTAGTGTATTTCAAAATATCAACTATGAATTCAATTTACCTGCACATGAAAACCCTAAAAAAAAAAACCAAATTTTGAAACAAATTTTATCGAAATACTAATTTTGGCCACGAAACCTTGGATGCTGGCCCACTGTGCGTTGGAATGTTAAATTTCACAGAAACGAAGAAATTAGGGTTTTTTTTTTTTAAACGAAAGAAAAGTACTTCAAACCCATATAGGTTTTTTACGAAAATTGTCCTAAAAAAAATGACAACTTATATATTTTAGTTTGCGAGCCACGAAAAAAAAGGCTTCTCGGGCCGGATGTGGCCCGCCACTTGGCAACCACACTACTATACCATACATAATTTCCTATAAAAAAATCATTGAAATATTTTTCTTACAGGTTAGTTTTCTTCCACTCTCGCTGCCTTCAAATCCCGCCATTGCAGAAAATTTCCAGAGCTCGATTGAAAAGGATTTTAGTACAAGTCTAGAAAAGTCAGCTTCTGCAGAACAACATCTGCTAGGAAAACCTCTTTTAACTACTTTTCAATATGCTGTAATTTTATTTGTACAAGCATTCATATCCACTATGTTTAACGGAGTACTACTATCCATTCAGGTACTTAACTATTATCAATCTTAACTATTACTTAGCAAAAAGGGGGCTTTAATTATTCACACTTCTGCGCACATTATGCCCTTCTGTTCCATCAAACAGCTTTTTAAGAGGAGCTTTAAGACCTGTGCTCATGAAGAATTTATCGACCGTACTTCTACTAAGTCTTGGAGGGCTACCATCCTAAATTTGCGAAATGGCCCAAGACGAAGAGCGGTGGCTGAATTCCGCTTGGCCACCGGTCATGACTGTCTGCGGAAGCATCTGTCTAGATTTGGTATCGTTCCTTCCCCGGTATGCACTCTTTGCAGTTCTGGTGAGGACATGGACTCCACGCACCTCCTCCGCTGCTCTGCACTTTGCAAGAATTCCATCACTGAACGCTATTGGGAAGCTAGAGACATTGATTAATAGACTTTGTTGCAGCATCTTTTGTTTCTGTTCTTATTTTTATTCGATGTTTATGTATGCTGTTACTGTCTATAATCTGCCATTGGAAATAAAATTTAAAAAAAAAAACTTGTTTATCTTTACAGATAAACATATCATCATCGTATTCATAGAGTAAAATAGTTACGAGAGATGTTTATTTATTTTGTGTGAAATTAAAGTCTAATAGTTTTTTTATTTTTATTCTGTCAGCGAATATATGAATGTGTCTTTTACGGATCACATAGTTTCTTCTTTTTACTAAATTTAGATTTTTCAAAGGTAATTGCAAGGATTTTTTAATTTATTTTTAACTGAATGAAGAAAAATAACTCGTGGAAATGAAACTTTATTTCTAAAGGAAAACGGTGCAAGAATCTAAAGTTTAGCTACACTATAAACTTCAGTAATACAAACAATTTACAGGTAAATTAAAAATTTTGAAAGAGGTAATATGTCTAGAAAGGATGCTGATCTCTTAAGGTTGGCCCGAAATCCTAGAAAATAACGATTTTAATGTCTGAGAGAAGATTAAAAATGCAGGGAAATATGAATGCAAATGATTAAGTGCATTTAATTTTGCACGAACGTTTGCATAAAAAAAATTATGTCAAAAGGGTTGCTGCTATCGCTAATAATTGTTTAAAAGTGTGAAAAGAGGCAAAGTTCTAGAGAAAATATAAAAACTTTACAAATTAATTCTTGGGTTGTTTTGGAAACTGCTTTGATGTACGATGAACCTACGATCTTTATCAACCTGAAACTAAAAAACATTCAAAATAAGAGGTAGAGTATGAGCCGCAAGCACACATTGTTTCATCAAAATTCAAAAAGAAAAATAGCTAGTTAGTATTATGAATTTATTAAATAGTCAATTTCTCTAATGCCAATTTAATTTTAAAGGGGGCGGCCTTTAATATAAACGACATTAAATATTAAAACGGTAGTTTTGCCAAAAATCATTCTAAGCAATATTGTTAAGAAACAGTAGTCCTAGAAAGTGAAGTTTAAGATTTCTGAAATTGAAAAACTGATATAAAATTCAATAACAATTAGAATGTATTAATGTTTTAAGATATCTTTGTATTTTCCAGACTTACTCCTGTTTACCGTATGGAAGTGTTGCATTTCATCTGACTGTCACTCTGTCCAATATCGCCAATCCTCTCTGCTGTTTCCTTGCCATGTTTCTACCAGTCACAAAAGTGTGGTCAGTTACTGGAGTAGCAATCTATGCAAGTGCTTGGGCAGGATATATTTTAACAACAGCCCTCACGAGCCCAGAGCCACCTTTTGTCCACGTTGCCTTCGGAGCTTATCTAGTGGTAAATATTTTGTTCGTGCCTTTTATAGTTAATCTCAATAACTTCAGAACTGGATGCTTGCAAGGGACGTCATCGTAGGTAAATCGTGGTAGATGTCGATTCAGAAGCCGATAAGGTCCGACAAACATACGTGACGTCGCTTACAGGTATCCAATTAAATCTGATTCAAACCACATGGTTAGGCATAATCACTTGACATCTTCTCGAGTTACAAGCAATAACCATCCTCAGTTTATCAAACATGTAAATTGAAGGCGAGTTAGATAACTCTGAAATAAAATCAGTTGCTTGTAAATCACTTCTTCTTGAGTTGCAAGTACTGAATTGTATTAATAACTCTCCTCAGTTTATCAAACATGTAAATTGAAGGCGAGTTAGATAACTCTGAAAATAAATCAGTTGCTTGTAAATTAATATTACACGTTTGAACACAAACATTAAAACTTCTTCAAGGGAGATCTGGTTACTTTAGTTTAGTATGACAAACAAAATTAAAATATCACAAACATTAAAATTCTTGAAAGATGAATTCATGTTATGGCTCAGCTGATCGCATTGAAGCTTTCCTATTTTAATCACTCCCATTTTTAAGTTGAAAAAAATGTTTCAGCATAAACATCTACATAAATTGAAGTACCACAGTTCAATAAAGGATTTGCTGAATACATTTTAAAGTATGCATTATTTTTCAGGTAACTGCTTGGATAATGGTTTCAGGATCAGTTGCTTATACAAAAGCATGTATAGCTTCAATTCTTCGACGTGCAGGAGGACAAGTTGCTCTGTACCGATGCGGTGTAATGACACAAATAGGATCTGCAGTGGGCGCTCTTGTGACATTTAGTTTGGTGCAATACACAACACTCTTCAAATCATATGACCCATGTAGTTGATGTAATAAGTTCAGGGTAGACAGAACACCCAAAACGGACTTCATTAAGAAGCATATAAACTAAAGGATTTGAAGGATCATTAGTCAGAAACCACCAAACCAGTAAAGATCGCAACAGGAACTGATATTCTGAGTATTTTTGATTTATAAATTGAGGTTGAAGTACATATTGAGCTTTGTGATATTATTTTGACATTCGTTGTCTTTTACGTTGAGGATGTTGGTAAAAATGTTGAAAACTTGCACAGCTTGTATAGTATTACTTTTCGCGCTTGAGAAATATAAAAAATAAAGCGGTTATGAAAATATCTTTCATAAATGTTTAGTAATGTATTTAAGAAAAAGTTATTTCTAAATATCGTTTATTTTTTGAACTTTGTAGCTCAGAGAAAAACATTTATACAATCCTTTAAAAAAGTTTTGACTCATGACTGTTATCTGTATGGAAACAAACTTTGATAACATCCATAGCAAATTTTTGTTGCAAAATGCCAGCTTATTTTGATAGATCATAAAGAAATGCTTTTTGAAAACGGTATTATTTTTCCAGCTATACAAAATTTTAACAAATTAAACTGAGTTGAATAAGTTTAAAATTTGTTTTCCAATTTGAATAGCAGCATTGCAAAAATATTTTGGTCTTCAAAGACGAGCATTAATGCCAAAAACCGAACAATTTCAAGAAGGATACTACCTTAAAATTTCTTCTGTTTACCATAATTGGTCATTTGTTAAATGAACATTTAACAAACAAAACTTTCAAGCTATATGAGGAATCTATTTTGTTTCCATACAGTTAATAACTGTAAGTTTAAAATTTTCCTTTTAAGTGTAATATTTAATTTTAAGATTCTTTTAAAAAAATAATGAAATTTTTTTAAACACAACTAATAATTTTTAGATATTCTAAATTTAAAAAAACAAAAAACAATTCAAAATATTATTAAATTCATTAATAAATATTTTTTCAAATTTTCAAAAGTGATTGTTTTTTTTAATAACTTGTATATAAGATGCAAATTTTTCTCTTTAAATTTTATTATGTATAGGGACCACCTTTAATATATGCATTCTTGGAATCCTAATCAAAAATGAAGACAAAAAGTTTGCACATTGGAATTTGTAAATTTATATTTATGCAAGGAAAAAAAAACTATCGTTATTTGATGAATCAAAGTTAAAGAAATCATGTGTAAAAACTACCAAAACAGATTTGATTACATGGTAGTTGGAAACATCAAGGCTTTTTTTAATAATTTTTTTTAAAATCCTTTCTGTTTCCACAAACAATAATTTCTGTTCTGGTGTTTATAACACTTGCCTTCCTCAACTCAGGGGTGATTGTGAGCCCAACGAAAAAATCCTGAAAATTTCTCGAGTAAAATTATTAATAACGCACATTTCAAAAAATTGATGTTCTCATAAATTTAAATCATTTATATTTTAAAAACATGAAATTCTAAATAAATTTTATGCAGTATAATTTAAATGAACAATTATGCATAAGTTTACTTTTATGTCGAATCACATTTATTATTCTAAAAGAAAAAAAATATTTACAAATGAAAGAGATGCCAAGTATAAACTCTAGTTCGAATATTTCTAAATAAAATATATAAGAATTTTTAGACATAAATGTGATCGATTTCTTGAAACTTCTAAACCTTGGGTTTCTGGAAACTTCCGGATCGCGGTTAGCGGAAAATTAGGAATTTCGAATTTTTTTTCCGGAGTACAATCATTTCTGTCAACTAAGATTTGTCAGAATTTCGACAGAGCTTTTGTTTTTTTCTCTCTTGTGACCCCAATGTGCAGATTTTTTTGTCTTCATTTTTGATTAAAGACTCTAAAAATAAATAGTAAAATGGGTCTGAACGCCCTGTTTACATTGTAAATATCTTGTAGGGCAAATCATTAGAGTTTTCTTTTCTAGTTTTGTGTAAAAATTCAAATAGTAGGTATAAGAATATCATATCATTGTTATTGTATTAATAATAAAGCACAATATAGTTGGTATGTAAAAAAAGGGATAAATACTTGTTGAAGCAGTTTTGGAAACATTTTAGTATTTCTTCTCTCTCAGAAGATGACGAAAAAAAGTACTTATTGCAATATTTGAAGAACTCAGAGGAAGAATATTATAAACATCACTATGGAAACACTATATATTTAACAAGGGAATGAAGTTCAGGTCTTTTTTTTCTCCCAGTTAAGTTTACCGCTTAGAAACCATGGGAAAAAAACTGTTATCATTGGTAATAAAAAATAATGTTAATACTGTCATTAGGTTCAAGAAATTATCTCTTTCCCAAGGAGTTTGAAGACACAATACGTTCCCCTAAAGATTAATTCCCTGATTAAGATGCTTTTTTTTGTAAGGCCATGTCTTAAGATTGACTTTGGCAGTCCCATTTCTTATTAATAATTTTTACAAATAATATTAAATCAAGTAATGACTCCTCTTAATTTATGTAATAACTAATTATTTTCTCTATTTAAGATTTAATTAATGAATTGTTTTTATCTTTATAGTGCCCAGTTGTATTTATAATCTAAACATATTTAAATGTTTGAACATAAGCTTTACTTAAGTGTTCATGCATAGATATGTATATAATATTCAAAATTGTATATAACTTTCATTTTTAAACAAGAAGTTTATCGATTAAGTTCTTGTTTACTGACTAGATAAGAACGAATAGAAATTAAAGCAAAATTCAAAGATAAAAAGTACAGAAATTAAAAGCGAGAAAAATTTCATCATTTTTATTTATTTTTTCTCTTCCAAACTAGTAAAAGTTAGAGACTACTTTTTAATAAAGAGTTAAACTAAAATACAGAAAATAAAAAGTAACAATGAAATTAGGATAGTACGTAACATTTCAGGAACAGTTGCAAACATGCTCATGAAATTTTCTAAAGTTATGTAATTTTATTATTTTAACAGTATTTTAAGAATTTTAATATTTATTATTTGTATTATTATATAATGCAGGCATACAAATGTATTCATGAAAATTAAGTAAATTCTCCAATTACACTTAAAAATTATTGCATATTTTAGTAGATATATCTAATGCAGATTTATTTAGATAGCACATTAATTTTTATTAAAATACAATAGAAGTTTATTTTATGTAACTTTTTCTAATTACTTTGAAAACGATTTTAAATTTAGATGCGTGTCAACATTAGAGCAATAGTACCGACCATCTCACCTTAATCTAATTAAAACAATAAAAATTAAATAATCATAAATTGCTAAAAAAAGAAGCATTTTAAAAAATTAAATATAAATAAAATTATAACAAGAACCAGGAATGCCAGAGGATCAAATTTTTTGCATAAAAATAATTTTTTTCTTAAATGTTCATTACATAAAACAAACAACAATTGAAGTTTTACATTGAAGTTATTGAAATTTTTTCGTATTAAATGTGAATCATGAATTTATGCATGCGTGTTCTTATGTTGCCTCCACTAGCATTCCTGTAAATACTAAAACAGATTGCACATAATTAAATTCCAACACATTTTCATATAAGTGCCTGGCAGTGAAATTTAAAAATAATCCGAGCTTTAAATGAAAGAAACATTTATACATTTTATAAAAGAACTAAACACAATGAGATTTATATGAAATGATGAATAGCAGATCTCAAATCAGATTCAATTTCTTTTAATGTGAAATAGACACCAAATTTAAGCATTCAGATCACAGATTAATAACATTGAAAAGATAAAGTTTGGTATAGTTAACATGATTCTAACATTTGGTATCCGACTAGATTATGTAAGACATCTACGGCTAGTATTTTTAGTATACCACTAGAATTTCGTACAGAAATACAAATATAAACAAATATAACATTGAAGTTTTTATGAACACTGATAATTTATTAGAATAATAGCAACCAATTTTAATGAAATTGCATGAATTCTTAAACTAAGGCCAGCTAGAAGAAAATATCTAAAAACAAACTAGACTAGAAAATATGACTGACTTTCAGATATCTCATACAAAAGGAAAAAAGTTATAAAGAGCACAGTTTACTTTTTTATGCATAATTCCAATATTAAATGAGTTATATATTTTATAAAACTTTTAACAATAAAAATTTGTAGAAAAATATTACTTCATAAAAAAATAATGCCAATAATTTGTTTGTATCATGTTTCTGATGTATTTACAGAGTTACAATCAGTTAAAATTTTTTAAATGAATATACATTCATTTTAAGATCCTTTTTAAGTGTAAGGGGGAGGGGGCAATGTGACATTTTGTGACAAAGAACAGGAGAAAACCAAATCTATACCAAGAAAAAGTGACATAACTTATGGTCTGTCACTTCACTACTTATTTTGTCATACACATTTTCTTATGCTGGTTGCTTTTTATTTCAGGTTTTGTTTTTTCTATTTAAATAATATTATGAGCCCAGTTTCTGAAATCAAAATTAAGACACACAAAAATTAAATTCATTATATATTAACAATTAGTTCTTTAAAAAGACAAATACTTCCATACTGAGACAATTTCTCTGGATTATTAATGGTTACTTAAAACTGTAAAATGATTCTAAACTGCAAAGCTATAAAGTGACAGACTATACATTATTTTGACAGTGCCGAAAGATTATAAAGATAAAGATATAAATGCGATTTTCATGCATATACTAATAAAAACGTAAGAATTCACAATAACATAGAAAAAGCAAATTGAATTATTGCTATATGAAATGATGAAATACAAAATTATATATTTTTAATAATAATTTAGGCCATAAAAAGGCAAGCATTTAATAAAAAATATAATTTGGAAACAAGAATTGCTTTAAATTTTGTAGGCATTTCAAGCTAAAACTGGCTATATATTAAAAAAAAATTATATTAATTGTCAATTTACTGAATTTAAGTATTTATACATATATAATGTTTATAAACATTTCGTCCTTCATAACATTTTCAGAATAAAAATTCACAAACTTAACAGTTAACTTAATAAAGTAAGTGAAGTTACAGCTATTTCGGAATAACTTTTCAATAAATAATTATCGATTTGATAATTATAATTTTTTTTAAACAAATTCCATAGTAATTTAAGAATAATTTGATTAGACAAAGTACTTTTATAAATACAAAAACAATAAATGCTTAAGATAAAAGAGGAATTCAATTAAGAGTACATGAAAAATTATGATGACTAGTTTGCAAGAAATAATATGAACATTAAAATGAATAACCCCTTGACTACAGTAAAATAATACTCAAAATGATATCTTTTCATCAACTGCAATGCCCATACCGAAATTCAAAAATTTTCACCTCAAATAATTGAACAGGATATTAAATGCATTTGATTTAATAATACAAAGCACTTCGCTAACACTAACAGCTTTAGGATTATATACATTCAGAAACGTACAAGTTTTGTAGCTAAGTATTTTAAGCAATAATATTCATCATGATTTTCAGAAGTATAAAAATAGCAATTTAAGATTTAATAGAATGTTTCAAAGTTAAGATTTGTAAAGATGTACATCAACTTTCACGGTAATTCTTCATTGGAATTGTTTCACTATCAGACAAAGAATCAGATAAATATCCGCTGGGTAGTGTCAGTTTGTGTTTGCTACTGGAATGCTTAGTTTTCTTAAAGCAAAGTAGCTGTTCATTTTGACAATAGCAAGAGCATGTTAAGCAAGAAATTAATAAACATGAGGCAATACAACTGGCAGTAATCACTCCCAAGATGATCATTGTGGTGTACAATCTCCTAAAATATATTACAAAATATTGTGTTAAGCCTACAACATTCAAATACAAATTAAGTAAAGTTGGACTTCTATTTAACGAAGTCGCTAAATCTCGATAATAAGTTCGTTATAAGGAAAATTCATTAAATAGAAAATCACCTTTTGAAATATTTAAACAACACAAAACAGGTTTCAAATTCATAAACATTAGACATAATTAAAAAAAATGATACATCTTTATCTTGTAAACTAGTATCGATTATTTATTTTATAAATCTTAACTATGAAAGAAATCCATATGGAAAGTAAGAATAGAGCAAAACAATATCCTGTGTTACACTATCATGCTACATACATTCTCAACTAAAAAAAGGGCTAAATTTATGTTTAAAATTATAGTAAAAGTAATTTATAATAAAAGTAATTTTAAACATACATTACCACATGCGTTCTTAAGTTGAATTGCTATTGATAAGATCTGTTAATTTTGCCTGAGTTTTTCATTTGAAATGCAAACAAAAAGGGAAAGGGATTTTACTGTTTTCTCAAAAGGTGGCTGTGAAAATCAATTCAAGATCCCCCCCATAAAAAGCGTTAACAAGTTTGGAATATTCCGAAATATTTTGGGAAATGGGGAAAGTGGATCTGAAAGAAAAGTTCGTTAAATAGAAAATTCACTTCACTATTTGGAAGTTATATTATGAAGAAATGTCCCTAAAGTTCTTGGTTCCTCGAAAAAAATCGCAAAATAGGGAGATTCCCAAAATGGAAGTTTGTTAAACAGAAGTCCGATTGTATTTCAGACAAAATTTTTATGTACAGTGCCTTCTGATATATCTACATATGTATAAAATGATGTACCTGTACTTAATGACTAAAATGACTCGAAAGTAAAACTATACAAGTAGTATAAAAGCTAAATTGCTGTTAATTAATTGCTACATTTATATTTTAATTGTTTTAATTTACACTTTACATTTTGGTTAAAATATGATCTTCATCTTTTAATTTACAAAAAAGGTCTAGAAGTTTTAGCATGTTGTTGTTAGATAAGCAGAATTTTAAATTAAAAACTTCACATAGTTTTGAGTGATCATAAAAGTTTTTGTGACTTTCATTAAAAATCAAAGATAAATTTGAATACATAAATTTTTCCGACAACCCTCAAATCAAGTCACTTAGGCATATTGCTAGATAATAAATTGAACTAAAAATGAAAGTAAAAATGCAAATACAAAGTTACTTCATGGGTGAATTATAATATAAGAGGACAACAGACTGATTTAAAATTGGTCAAATATGTTTCAGTTAAATTTTTTTTGCTTGATAAAATAATTAACAGAACGGACACAGTTTATCTCATTGAATACCCAATAACTTCAATCCATTTTTTAAACCTATATTATTTAGTCTTTTATAACTGAGAATGTTAATTTGTGACTCAATCACTCCATTTTCACCAAGAAGCGTAATTCACATTTGTAGTGTTGTTTGTGGGTTGAAAACCGGAATTGGTTATCAATATGTTACAATTCTTTCAAAACTTGAAAATTCTTTTTCTATTTTCGAAACATATGCTTTCTAAAAGTTTGATATTTTAAAATTGCAATAATGATTATTATTAAAAAATGGTTTTGATATTGAATCTGATTTTGCAGATTTGACTTTAAAAAGTGGCTGATATTATTAATGGTAGTCACTGTAATAGAGAAATTTTATAACAAGCATTATACATGATGCGAACTTTTCTCACTAAAGTTTAGTGTACTAATGAAAGTGTACTAAAGTTTAGTGTACAACAACAAAGTTTAGTGTACTAATGAAGAAAAAAAAAGAAGATAAATTGCCATTTACTAAAAATTTTAATAAATACTAGAAGATTTACCATCTTTCACTAGGATTATCCTTAATTAAATGCTGATCATCAACAAGAAGTTGCGCTATACATTTTGAATCTATAAAAACAAAAGATGCAAACATAAATAACATTGCTTAATAAATGTCTGATAATTTATTAGATCATTTTCTAACTTTTTGCTCACAATTTAGCTGCTACTTAAAATGAATAATCTTATCATTAAAAAATGTCAGAAAATTCATATAAGATAAACTCTTTAGATTAGTTTTTTAAAGTAAGGTAATTAAAGTAGATGCAAATTACTTTTCATTTTTAACATTTACATTTTAATTGCTGGAATATTATTGTAGAATTCCAAGCGTAATAGAGGGAAATCACACAGGCATTTTATTCTGAAAAGGTGCTACTTTAAGGTGCAATGTTTAATTTAACTGCATAAAATAATAAAAGAGCCCCATAATTTAAATGCCAAGTAATTAAAAGCGTCCATAACAGAGGAGACAAAGAAAATCCCACATTTTTGACATGCACTGTTTTTTCCGCTATATTCTGTTATTTGGAACATCCTAAACATTATTTGTAATTTTTTTTTAATTATCACATTTCAAGGAAAAATAAATTACTATAAGACTTTTTAAATTGCTAACACATTTTTATTAACTTCAAAAAATGCAATGTAACAGAGGGGACATTTTGCAAATTTGATAAATAGTTACAGGGAGATATCATGCCATTTAATTGTACATTACACCTTAAATAGCATATTATTGCAAAATGTTTTGCTTTCACATATATTTAATAAATTTTTTATGATAAAATACCTGTGTGATTTCCTCTCTGTTACGCTTGAAATTCTACTACTGGTTTCAGTTGGCATGGAATTCAACAATTTCATACTGAGATGATATAATAAGCAATTTAAATACAGTATTAATTTATAATTTTACAAAATCTTTCATTCGAAAAAATAAAAAATTGAAGAATGAAGTTATCTGTAATCTATTCTTTAATAGTTATATTAGATGTCATACCTAAAAACAAATATGATATAATATAAACTTACAGCCGTAAATACTGGAATTGTAAGGAACACTACAAGATCCGCTTGTGGGATCACAGCATGTATTATTGCACTGACATTTAAATTGGCAATTGATACCAAAGAACCCTGGAGGACAAGCTGAAAAATGAAATATATTAACTTCATAAAAAGCTTTTTAATAATAATAGGAAACAGTTTTGAAAGCCTCATGAGTGCTATACATTTTCAGGATAAATTGCCAATAAAATAATTAGATCCTAAAATATTTACTTCATGATACATTTATTTAAAACACACTAACTTTAATGCTTAATGAACTTGTCTTTTTCTTCTTCTCAAATTTAATTAATTTCCAGGCTTTTTTTAAAAGATAATTAAATAAACATGAGGGGATATTTTAAAAACATTACAGTTGGAATAGTGTAGCTTTAATACAAAAATTAGTCAAAAATAAATAAATACAAAATAATGTGTAAAAAAAAATTAATGCATAACAATGAAAATTTAAGTATTAATATGTAAAAAAAAAGAAAAATAATATTTAACATTCTAAAACAAGCTTCAACTACTGTGGCAGTCACATAGTCAGTCTAAAGTGTATAACTAAGAGCTATATGAGTGAGCTGCGAATAAATGGTAACCCAGATAAGCAGTCCTGGATCAAGAGGGCAGGAGGGATCAGAGGCTCTCATAAAACACCACATTTACAACCCAGATAAGCAGTCCAGGGTCAAGAGGGCAGGAGGGATCAGAGGCTCTCATAAAACACCACATTTGCAACCCAGATAAGCAGTCCAGGGTCAAGAGGGCAGGAGGGATCAGAGGCTCTCATAAAATACCACATTTGCAGATGTAGCTCCCATGGCATGGCAAGCGAACATTGGCATAAAAGTGCTTGCTTCTTCCATGAAGCTAAGTGTCGGACTGCCAGCAGCTTTTGCGCTCTATCTTTGATAGACACTTTCTATGAAGTTTTATAATACTAACGGAACCTTTGCACAATTTCAAGGATCTGGTTTACAGCTACTCTAAACAATGGGGATATGTTCCACCACAACCAACATTATATTATTCTATTTTTAAAAAAAATTATAGCACATCATCAAAAAATTAGAAATAGATATAATATATATATATATATACATACATATATATATATTGTAACGGCAGGTACTGAACTTTTGTTTTTCACCTTGGTAGATGCCGGAAGTGTTGCTCATTTAGCATTACCCAGTGGGCACCCGTGAACCTAAGTCACGGAGGCGAGCAACATTACTCACGCCACATTGCCACAAATACCCGTTCATAGGGTGAGCCATATTCACACATCACTCACAACAGATGACAACACATAGAGAGAAACATCTATGCCCAGAGCGGGTTTCGAACCCGCAGCCATTGACTTTGCAGTCAGGCACGCCAACTGCTCAGCCATCTGGCCGGCATATAATATATATAAAAGGATAAATTCAAAGCTCTTTTTATTCCATAAAACATAATTTCTCTTTTCTTTCATAATATTGGTAAAAGTTAACTTTTGAAAATAAATTTCTCCAAAATGGTAATTTATTAAGGATGAAAGTATAGAATGAAATAATATACACTCATTGTATACTTTTATATAACATACAAATACATTGGAAAATGTATACAAGAGATAAGAAAATATGTATATATATTACTATTTTGATTACTAACTTTGCTGACACATTTCTCCAGTAAATCCTTTTTGACAAACACAGGTACCTGAAACTGGATCACAGCCTAGAGAGTTTGTACACTTGCAGCGTGATTTGCACATACTACCAAACCATCCTTCAGGACAGGCTAAAATTTGGTTAAAAATTACAAAGTAAAACATCAAAAAGATATTTAATATCACTGAAATAAAACATTTAGCTATAAAATTATGATTTTGGATTTTGTTACTATGGAATCTCGTAGTCTGCAGCCAATAAATGATTTTTATTCCTACTCCGTAAACAATTCTAAAATTAATAAATAAATAAAAATAGAAGTTATGTTAGATAGAAATATTGTAATATATAAAATAGAAGTTATGTTAGATAGAAATATTGAAATAAATAAAAATAGAAGTTATGTTAGACAGAAATATTGTAATAAATAAAAATAGAAGTATTGTTAGAAAGAAGAAATAAAAAGTAGAAAGAGAAAAGACCTCTATCTTATCTTTCCCTCTTCTACCAACCTATTTTTAAAAAGACAATGAGGGCTAGTTTAAAATTGAACCAGACACTAGTGGAATAATGATTGCAAGTAATCATTGTTCATTAAAGTAATGATTCCAATTTATCCTTTTTTGATAAACAATAAAATGTAGGACATTTTTTATATTTTCATGCAAAGTCTTGTTATTTTTATTTGATAAAAAAAAATTATGCAGAATTTTGCTTATATTTCATAACTGTATAGAATTAAGTAGTAATTTAAGTTGTGTCAATACTAGCTTCTAGTAACTATATTTCTGTGTTATTGCACTCCGATTACTGATAGCTAGTGTCAAGAATCAAGCATTCAAAGAGCACAGTACACAATGAGTTAGTATCAAAGACATATTTATTTTGGTGAATATGAAACCGTTCCTTTTCGATAAGGTAGAAAAAATTACGTTCCTTTAATTTTATATACTAAATTTAAGCGGGTCATATTATGTTTTCATTGTGGTATTCTTTACGTTTTAATAAAGGAGTTATCTTGTCAGCTCTTCCATTTTAATTTCAAATCACACATCCCAATGGCACATCTGTAATTGTAACACAATATTACAAAAAGTAAAAAAAGCATAATAGTTAAAAAAAAAAGTTGCAAGCTATTCATAACTACAGTATTATGTAATAATATAAAAAGCATTATTATTATTATTTTTAAAATTAGTAGCCAATTAATAAAAACTCAAAAACTAATTAAAATGTTTTACTTTAAATGAGTATTACAAAAAACAATAATAAATAAAAACAGCACAAAAGTTTAAAAATCAAAATTAAATTCAAAGCTATACATATCTATACAACAGAAAATAATATTATTTAATAGTACAATAAATGTTAATTTCAAATTAGCAGCCTAACTAAATAAACAATTTTTAAGAATTAAATATCAAATAGACTCAGACATTTATTGGAGTCAAAACTTCCAGGTAATGATCGGATGCATTAAACAACTAGTACTGTATTCACATTTTAAAAATATTTCGCCTACATTATTCATCTGTTTCTCACATAATAAATAGTCAGATGAAGCTAAACAGTTAACAGGGGTCTGTCCAGACATTTTGTGAAAGGTCCTGCTTTTGTAAAATTGAGATAAAACTATTCATAATTTGTGGATATAAAATGAACGTTAAGTTACATTCTTTCAACCAGGGTCCTGCTTTTGTGAATTTGTGCAAATAGGGTCCTGCTATTGCAAAAATTGCTAAAAACCTTTTCAAGAAGTTTTTAAATTGTAAATAGATACATGATTCTGCTTAACAATTGCTGCTATTAAATTAGAGATGCAACATATAAATATTTGGTATTTAGCCTATACTGCTCAACACAAAATATTTATTTCGCACAAACAATGAAAACAAAATCACTCGCACTTTTAATAATTTTAATTGACGTATTTTAAACAGCACAACTTAATAATGTATCACTTTTAATGTGTTATGCATTAAGTTAACTTAAACAATTCTTGAATTTATAATATTTTATTTAAAAAATTGGCAGAAATTAATTTTTATTTGCATAATATTCTATTAATTAATTTTATGAATAAATATAAATTGATCAATTATTTATTTACAAAAAAA